GTATCTAATTCTGTCGACTGACAAGAAAGCGAATTTATATTCGAAATCTTTAAACTCTATGTCGATTACATGTATTTAGTAAACGGTTTCCCGTCGTGCCTCTTGTTTCACTTGGCGACGGAAATGGGAGAGTGTGCTACCCCCCCCCCCCCCCCCCCCCCCCCCCCCCCCCCCCCCCATTGAATTCTAATTCAAAGTATTGGTTCTGGCACAGTTGTCTACCCTTTCTAGGCCGTTCACCTCCGTACCAGTTTACCGTTTAAAAGCAGCAACCGTCCAACCATACTAACACATGTCTTCCCGATAACACCCGTCAGAGGACCGATTTAATAGATATTTTATTGTTGAAAATTTCTTGTGAAAGGATTGGGTACAAACTCTGCCAACTTACTCAGTTCTCCCTTATGATCTTATCTATTCCAAATTTCGATAGTGAACGAGAAAGAGAAAACAGACTTACTCAGACAGGAGACAATAGATAGGTCGTCTTAAGCAATTTGCATTTCTTAGATTGTATCCAGAAAATAGCCAATATCTTATGGCACGATGTAGTGGATCAGTGAGAAAAGATGATGCACTTTCTGTCTTTATTGTACAAAAAAGGGATAATTTACGATATTGGCGTGTTTGTTTCAGTGTTTCCCAGCCGGGTTCTTTTAATAGTAAATCAGACCTTAAAGATATTGATTACCACGTGACTATTCATGGCGCCTACAATTGGATTTGTTTTTCAAAATTGGATGAAACATTAAGCCTTACGATTGTCCTATAACGTGTATCCTAATACTGTTCTTTTATAAATAAGTAATAAGGTCACATCAACTGTCAGCACAGCACAAGGAGCCGGTTGCCTTGGTTGCATTGTCTATAGTAGCAATAGGAAAGTTACGTTTAAAAAACAGGGAATTCTACACGGCTTTTTTTTTTACATAATTTGTTTCGAATGATTGAATAACATTTCTAGAGGTTAAAATTATAATTGAATTGGTTTGACAATATACCCATGTGATAAATCGGGTAAACCGACATAGAAGCTGTCATGCTGAGAATGATTACTGGTTTCACGGGGAAGTGCTTTTATCCTTTGAAACAGACTTTCCTGAAAATTATTTTTAAAATTTGAACGTACATCATTCAGGCGAAATTTTCTCACGGAGAAAATTAAATCTATAATAAAAAAAAATGGGAACTTTAATTCAAAATCAATTGAGAATGAGCTCAATCAATTAATTGTGTTTTATTTCTATGGTTTTCCCAGTCAAGTGTACTTTAAACAAAGACAGAGTGGAGTGGGGTGGTAATTATCTTATCAGGGTAGATAATCTCCTGAATGAGGGGAGATAATCGATTCAATCATGAAGGTATACAAGCCAGACTGTAGATCTAACAAATTTAATCAGTGTAGGTAATAGATAGATTTTCGGATCTATTCAGTTGAATCAATTGAGATTAACGGACATAATCTATCTCAGCTGGTGATGTAGTAAGTTTAATCGGGAAAGTAATATGACCACTTAAAGGAGATAACCACTTAAATCAAGGGAGCTAATTTATCGCATGAGGGGAAATAATATAATCAATTTCATGAAAGCAAATATGTAATTCGATCAATTGAGGTCATCAACACAATGAAAAAGAAGGGAGATAGTTTATTCGATCAAAGTAAAGTAGTTAGAGAAATATCTTCTTGTAGGTTGTCCTGTGGTGTACTCCCAAAGCTAATAAATAAACTTAAAAGTGCAAAACCGAGATAAATCATAACCCTCTGCTCTTGGGAGAAAATACATTTATTATCGCAAGATCTCTTCATTTTACAAATTAGAACTACGATTAAAAGTCCCCGTTAGTGTTAGTGTGTTTGGCTATGTAATTATTAGATGTAGAATAACTGTACTCTACTGTTAGGGAACACGATTTTAATGTTCTATATTGCCATAACGACAGGGTGAACAACGTTAAAATTGTGTGGTAATTTTCTAATGGTTACCGTACTTAACGATCTGTACTTGTGTTGGTCTGTGTAAACGTATAATAAATGCACTTCATATTCTGTAATGGCTTTTTCTGTTCCATGACACAAAAACTATCATTTTTGACTCTCCGACATGACAGATTCCGTTTTTCCATATGATAAAAGATATAATAATTAGTGGAAAACCATCTATTTGTAACTAGCCGTTATTCTTTGACAGACGTTGTAAATGTGTTTCGCATATGGCATTACATATTGTTAAGAATCCAAATCTTTTAACTGACGCAGAGAAGTATCTGTTTAGTAAACAGTAGATAGCTACATCGAATTCAAGAGTTCTTGAGACGTCAATAATTAATGGACTTGGGATTGTAAGGGGCTTTGTAAGATCAGAGATCTTATTTAACATATGACAAACATTTGAATCTCCAAAATCATCCTAGATTTCAACTCTGCTCCACTTTGTATGTGAAGCTATACCGAACACAGTTTCACTGTCTTTTCGGAGTTTTATTTAATGTCAGTCATTTCTATTGATAATTTTTTAATCGAAGTTCAAATCATTTGAATAATTGCCTCATCTAGAAACATTAAATGCAACCTTTGCGATATTTATGACGCCTACTAAATCCATATAATTGTTTCTCTGGTCTTCTAAATATTTCTGTCAGAGAATTTTATCCCATGATGCATCATTATCACGAGTTCGTGGTTTGGTTAAGTGGAAGCAATTAATCACAGTTAATTACCGAAGATGTGTTTTAGAGTTGTGGCCCTGTAACGTTTAATATCTCTCTTGGCTAATATGTCAGCGTTGATAATTAATTGATGATATAGTATTCCGAGGTGTTCCGAATGCCCGCGATGCATTATCTTTAACATAGAAATGACAGGCAGGACACGAGGTAATATACTTGGATGATTGGTCTTATTTTTAGAACATCACGGTTATTGGATTCTCATAAGAAATAATGACTTTCAGCTCACGTGCGGTAACGTTCCCGTATTACAACAGGAAGTGAAATACGATAACGAATACGCCAATGACGTGGCTAAACGGAAGTGTGAAAATAGAAGATATTTTAAAATCCCCTCGTGAATATCACATTGTCATATCACTATCTACATGTACCAGCTTACAAGTATAGCCTTTTTCTATGAAAATTTTCACATAATGTATATTGAATGATACACAGAATTATTTTTCAAATGACTTTTTGCGAACAAATTTCTTATGGGTTTAAGAGTGAGGTATCTAGAATGGACTAAGGATTTGCCGCATACTTATATGTGCCGTAGACAGGGTTGTCTGCCGTTGCTGCAGCATCCATCCGCTTAACTAGCTTAACTAGAGCAGCTAAGCGGGCGAAGAGTTGTACACAGACAGGAAATCTAGTACATTTTTGCGACTGTAAAATTAGCAAGGAACTTGTTTGTACTATTTTCAAATGCAAGCACTCCACTGAGAGAGATCTCAAAACAATTTGACCTTTCACTTGGTACAAAAGTTTCGAGGCGTTGTATTGCCAAAGGTTTCCCTTATTATGTAGCTCGTAGATCTTCTCGCGTGAGGATTGTCGCGATGCATCTGCATAGATAATACCGAAATAGAATCGTAAGTCTTGCATCATTTATGCGGCAAGTAAAAATTTCAATTTCCAAGGCTCGTAAAATCATATTGGTCTTTTATTATCTGTAAATACTTAAACACACATTACAACTTGAACCTCGAGATTACATCATTTCAACGTTGAAACTTTAATGATACCACCATCAATAACTTCCGATAAACTCTGCCCATCAGTCACGTGACGGCTGATAAAATGGCAATTGTAAAGGTTAATCTAATTTTCGGAGCGGAAAAACTTGCAGGCAACAAAACGGGCGGAAAGAAACAATTTGCTTTTCATAAAAATAGTATGATGATATTCGATATTCTTATTCATGTAATTCGTAAGATTTTCTATTTATTACTCATAGCGATATAGGCTTAGAGGTTCATTTTCTACGAAAGAAGTTAACCACATTACATGCAACTCTTGAAGCTGAAAGTTCTATGAAAATTAGATACTTTTTGACTGCATATGTATACGCATATATTCCTCGTTTTAGTCGTTGTTGAAAAGTATTCCTCGTGGTTAAACCAAAAAAGAACAAAATTTTACAACCGTTTCGAATTTCTGTGTGTGTTTGTGTTTTTCTTTAATGTTGTTATTGCTCTGCTCATGACGTCATCAGGGGGTCGTGGGGTCGAGTGGTTTCTCCACCACAAGACCGCGGGTACGAGGCAGTCGCCCGGTACTGGCCGTAGGTTGATGGCTTTTCTCCAGGAACTCCGGCTCCACCACCGAACATAACACGTCTTTAAATGGCACTGGCTATTAACAGAACGTAAAACATCAATTAATAAACCATTATGACATAAATGCCATTTTACGATTTTGTTTGTTTTTGTTTCAATATTAAGAACAAATCTAGTTATCAACTTTCAGTGTCGACCAACAAACCAAACATATTGTTTATGATTCGATACTTTAAATTCGTAATAATCGGAGCAGTGAATAACCTGTCCGACTCCTTAATTGGGTTAAAAAAATCGTGATCAAATCAACCTGACAGCGTTACAGACAGTGATCATATTTGCTATGTTTGTAGATTTCGACCGTTTGAGACATATAGAAAGACCATCAATTTCAGTACTTGTAAACATTGTACAATAAAGCTTTAGTGCTCATGAAATGAGGGGATGTTGGGAGTAGGGAATGGTGAAGGTCCGAATGTGGTTCTCCTGTAGCTGATATTACAAGCCGAACTATAAAACAGACAAGAAATTGTATTTCAGTTGCTCTTGAAAACATGCAACGGACCTTCCACATGGCATTCAGAACCAGTTTTTACAAAGAGGTTCAGTTTTAAAATGACCCTGGCTTCTCATATTGTGATAAATCTAGCCAACACACAATACAAACTAACAAACAAATTTGAAATTGTCTTTGTTTATTCACACTTTTTAATTTTCTATTTCCAGTGACGTTGTTCTGTATCCCACTGACGACAGCACAACATGTATACAGTCCGTGGATTTATGGTGAATTTCTATGCAAAGCTATTGGATTTATGCAAGGTAGGTGTGATTGTTTCTTACATAGTTCTCTTCAAACAAAGATGCCAAATTGTAATCTTCAATGGGTAAACTATTGCCCCCACTCCGGTTGTACAGAGAGAAACTTCAAACGTTTGTGTGCGATTCCACGTGTGTTTGTTCCGAATAATTCTACGTTTTGCATAAACGAAACAATAACATATTTACAAAATAAACTAATCCGTTGTCCTATATTTTAGGTACACGTTAGGTACTAAAGTCCTTACGACATAACGACAGCACATTGTACAAAAAGGCACGGTTAGGACAAAGAAAAAGTGAACCATTTCACTGGAATTATAAGCATGGTTAGTCTTAACTACATCTTTTATCTAAAACTAGAATATTTTTACAAGATAGCATTTTTCGTAATTTTTTTTTCTGTTGTTTTAAAAGACTATGTAAATGTTTCAGCTGTAGTTGGCTGTAAGGCAAACATACCAGGAAAAAATACTAAGAGAATCAGTTAAGCTTTAACCCTAGAAGAGATGCTGATACAAATTTTGTATTGTGTGAGGTTTGCATTCGTCATTTCCCCAGAAACTTCGACGGATGTGATCCTTTCCTAACGTCCGTTACCAATCTGGTTATATATTGTTGGAGAGGATCGACTTACGCTCCGAACGTTTGTAATGTACAGCTGTGTCTGGGTCAAATATTCTCAGCCTAAATGAAGTGAAGGCAACTGTACTTTCCGGTACATAGTCACCTTTTGTACCTCCGAATGAATGTTTCGTCTAGGTTTACCAAAATTAGCATGAACTTCATATGAATTGCTTCTGCATTTCTTGAGAGCACAATGTAAGAAGAATACTGCGATCAGAATGTTTCTGAATGTTTCCTGGTGAAGTAAATGAGCTGAATTGTAACGAAGCTGATGAGTTAGTCTGGGTGATGTTCGATGATTACTATGGTAACCTCTCTCGTGACATGCAAAGGTCACGTGTCTGTGGGAGTTTGCATCAGTTGACCATTCTCGTGGGAAAGGTGTTTGGTTAGTAATTATGTCATTCACTCTGTAAGATTCTGTACCTATTTCGTACGTTCGCTATGTCGGTTACCTCAGACAGTTAACAGCTAAGTGGAATATAAACGCGTAGAAACGCCATTGCTCTGATGTTTGATACAATAGCTCCCGAGAGCTGCGACAATGTCAGTGGGAGTATAGTGAACAAAGTTCTGACCAACGTCTCTGAAAGAAATAATAGCAATTGTAGAAAGGCTTAGCGTGGTCGTAACAGGGAGTGTCAGATTTAATGAGAGGGAGACGTCAGATTGAGGGCAGCCACTTTTTCAGACAATAACATAGTTATCTAAATAAAACATATGATTGTTATTGAATTAGACGCACACAGGTCGGAAGTGGTTGCGTCATCGAGATATAGTTCTTCGTAATATAACACCAATGGATTATAAGCTACAGAAGGTCATCAATACCAGCAGACATAACCATCCCCCGACATCCGATGGTCAGTCGTCCACTTAACACGGAACAGATATAGACTTACAGCAGACAGTGGACAATCGCGGTCGTCTTGGAATAAACAGACAATGCTTTCCGACAATAACTATATTTTCTCATATTCAGCGAGTTGTTTATTTTCTTCTATAATAAGTGCAGTATGTCAAATCTATTTGTTTATTCCTTCGTTTTATTTTACTTCTAATTTTAAGATCTGTCATTCCCATACCAGTCGTTTTAAGCATGTATTGATTTTGCCATACAGGTATTTGTAAGTTAATTTTCCGATTTAATGATGAAGTACATCTGTTTATATAATAACAAAGTGTCAGTGTAATTAACGGTGAAATAAGACAGCTAATGTTTGTATAGACATGGATATATCAGATAGGAAAGAGAAAAGAATAACGCTTTTGTATCGAAAATGAAAATTAGATGTTTAATAAAACAGGAAAATACTTACAAAAACAAAACAAAACAAAACAAAACAAACCGTAATTCTAATTCTGTAGAAGCTCTCCAGATAATCCAGATAATATTTATTACGATAATAATATCTGGCTTTCTGGCATGATAAGTGTCTAATTCTTTGACACAACTCGTACCTAGAGCACCTTCCATTACAGACTTCCAGAACGTCCATTATAGATAAGAACTGATACAAGTTTTATCTTGTTTTTCTGTTTTGTTTAATCTTACAAATACTTTTTTGAGTGAATGCCGGAAATGTTGTTTCAACTCAAGTCAGTTTGTGCAGTCACCAGTTAAAGTTGATAAATATTATGATGTCGATACATATTTGAATAGAGTAGCCGCTATCCTATTTTCATCTTTATCTGAATTGGAAATGTACTCAATGTTTGCTTGTTTATTGAGTTTATCACCCTGTGAATAACCATATAATTTAAGGCGAAGTAATAACCTCACGACATTTTATTACCATTGAGACTAGAAATATCATCAGACAATGTCAATTTCGCTTTCCTTAATTATTTTAGATGTCAAACGATAGAGGATGCAGTGTATTTGCAGGTACATGCTCATTTGTGAGTAGCCACAAAGAAGTAAAACCACTAGAGTTATTTAGGCACGATTTGCTTTGTTTGATAACTACGTGAACAACACTGATAAAGATATAAATAATCGATTAACAGATTCATGTCCAGTCTTGTGTTTCCTGTTCTATCGATGGTGCACTAGTGTTTCATAACGAGAGAAGCGTGATTTCTTTCGTCTCGTTTGTCAATAGTCCTTACTTGTAGTCAATTTATAATAACCATTTAAGTATAGCCCGTGGCACAGGGACTTTATTTAATATTGGACTGGGTTTTGGTCCCCGGGCCGAGACCGGTTACGGGGAACACCAGTCATCGGTGATGTAAAAAAAAAAAGATGGTGAGTGTTGTGAAAAACTGTGCACCTTGATGTTAATATGGAATATCTGCAACGTACGAGACATGGCAACATCAAAGAACACTCTGTGTGAACACGGTCACGGGTACTGCATACCGACACAAACGTATATTTGCCTTAGATATTGCAGTACCCATTAGAGACGAGACCGTGTTTCAACCAGAGAGGGAAAGTCCTACCAACCCATTTCGACATATATTTCCAAATTTGTCAGATCATAGTTTTGGTCAATACTTGTTATCAATCACACATGGGAAATATAAAACATTTCTCCCATGTATGTGTTATTAAGATCTTCTGTTGCTAGTATATATATATATATATATATATATATACGTAATTAGAAAAAATATGTGTTAAGTTTTCCTTCTCGGAGGTAACAACCCTTGTCATTATGATACATATCTATGGACCGTGAGTCGGGAAATCGTGCTCAGTGGCCCGTAGCCAGTGACTTGAGATTAACGGGGTGATTGTACAATTAGGTTTTCATATTTGTCTTATTGATCAATATGTCTTGATTGGAAATATTGATTAAATAATGAGTTTGATTAATGCTCCTAATCTAGGATGTATCATATTACCTAAGTTGCTATGCTCATCCAACATTGCTAAAACCCACTGGATCTTAAAAAAAGATGAAGATAAAAACAGCTTACAAAGAACACAGTCGAACCTGATGATGTTTTGGATTTTGAACATGTCGGCACCGATCTCTCCCTGTCTGTTAGGCGTCGACTTTGAGTTTTTCTGTGAAAAAATGGAAAACAAACCATTTGATTGTTATGTTTTCCTTCGCCACGGGATACCATTTTTAGCTGGCTTACTGACACCAGCATTACCTTGTCTGGAGTATTACGTCATATCCTAGTTTGATTTCCACAAAGGATTTAGACTTCTTCAAAGTTCTTGATTTGTAAAGGCGATTTGAAGTTGAAGGAAAATCGATGTCTAGACAAAGCTTGCACACGGAAGCCTGCATTTGTATGTATTAAAATATTATTTCTTACCAGTATTTCCTTTCGAATTTATGTTTTCCTTTTTGTTCTTGCAAACAGGGCTGTCATACTAGTGAAATCGATGATTAAAACGAGGAGCTTCAGCTTGTAGTTCTCAAAATAATTCAGAAATGGTATCACATAAATAAATATTTCACATTTGCCTTCTTCAATCAGGAATAAATTTACATGTACTTAGTGTCCCAGACAGCGTCAAAACAGAATATAAGGGTCCTTAATTATCGATTGAACAAAATTCAACCTCGTTTGACCTTGTCAATAAGAAACGATTGGCTATCGTTGTTTTGATAAATCAAATCAGGGATGCGTTTATACTTTTCAATCATTTAAACACACTACCTTGCATAAAAGGGTATCATTTGCTTTAAAAGGTTTATTTATTTTTTATTTAGACATCGGCATTACGTAAAGACTTAAATAAAGTGGAAACGTTTAACAATTCCATATAAAGGATTAGAGAATAAGCAATAACCTAGATCTAAGAATTTAGAGTAGGACATTGATTGGCTGATAAATGATTCCAGGAATAGATATTTCAATGATTGTGCGAAAATGCGTCTAACAGATTATCGGTGGCTCTGAAGTAATCATGTCTGGTAGGGTACAATACGTTCAGTGATAGAAGTGTAAAAATTGTGCCGTTTTAAAATCGCCATTGGGTATCAATGTCTAAGGTAATTTACGTACCAGTTTAATTGAAATAGGCGCCACATAGATCCATCTGCTTTGATCCTGTTAAACAGTGATCAATTTTAAGGTGATTTGATTGTTTTTCGTTACCGTATTCCATCTTGTTATTATTTGAACTTCTTCTGGATTCTGTACTTTTATCTTGCCTGACTATATATATATATCTTGACATTTCCTGCTCAAGTTTCACTATGTTAGCATGATTCTATAGCGAACTCTGCCACACGTTGAAGTATATATCAAGTGAAGAGGATTCAACAGACCTAGAGACATAAAGCACACGTCATTATTACCGTTTTTATAAAAGGCAAGTAATGACTTTTCTGAAGCCATCCAGATCTTGGTATACTTTGGTATCAACAGTATATCTAGCAACAGAGAAGGCGATGAGGTTGAAA